ACTGTCCATTAAAATTGCTACACCAGGAAGGAATGCAAATAACAGAATGATATTTATTGGTCACATACATTATAGTTTTACTCCCCTGGCAGTAATAACACAGTTATTCTCCAGGGCATCGAGTTGAACAGAGACAGGATAGCATGAACGGGTACAGTATTCCATGCAGCTTTAACATTATGCCACAATGCATCGACCGTAGTGACTGACGTGTGGTGGTGGGGCAGTCGCTCGGCAATCGTTCACCAGACGATTTCAATTGGCGAGAGATCAAGAGAATGTGCTGGCTAGGGCAACAGGCGAACATGTTCGGTGTCAAGGAAGGTCAGTGCAGTGTGGGCAACATGCCGTCGTGCATTGCTCTGCTGAAACGTAGCGTTATGAGGAACTCGAAGATAAGGCAGAGCAACTGGCCCTAACACATCAGAAATGTAACGGCTGCTGTTCAAAGTGCCGGCAAAGCGAACAGGAGGTGATCAATACGTGCATTCAATGGCACCCCATACCCTAACTCGAGGTGGAGAGCCAGTATGACCATGTCGAATGCAAGCTGTCAGGCGTTCTACACGATTTCGCCGAACACGGATGTGGCCATCATGATGCTGTCTACAGAACCTGGATTCGTCTGAAAAGGCGACGTCATGCCATTCCTGCGTCAAAGTTCGTCATTGAGCACACCATTGGAAGCGCTCTTGCCAGTGATTCAGCGTCTGGCAGTTCATGCTGCAAACGTAGTCGAACTGTTCGTGCAGACACTTGTTGTCTTGCAAATGACTCTATTTGTTGACTCAGGGTTCGTAACGTAGCTGAACGATCCCTTAAAGCCCTGCGGATAATGTGTTTGTCTTCTCGGCTGTTAGTGATGGTGGGCCGCTGAGAACCGGCACTGCGTTTCATATGACCGTCACGAACCCAACGATTCCATTTTCTGCTAACAGTCATAGGATCTCGACCAATGCGAGAAGCAATACTTCGGTATGATAAATCGCAATCCCGGTAGACCACAATTCAACCTTGATCAAACTCAGACGCGTGCTGATAGACATTTCTCCTTCGAGGCATTTGAGGCATAACGAAAACTTTTTTACTCAAGAACAACGCTCAAATTCAATTTCTGTATGAGAAACTTACTGTCAAATCTCTTCTTTTATACACATTGTAGGTGTCGCTACCGCCGCCTACTTTGCGTGAATGCGCTGATAAGCTAATCATTTGCATACCACAACATGCTTTATCCGTCTTGCAAATATCTCGTTCGTGGTCTGTCGCCTTTATGGTGTAGCAATTTTAATGGCCAGTAGTGTATTTCGGGGGTTAAAAATCTGAACCGGTCGAAAAAAGGTATGTTTATACAGAGAAAGCACGTTTTCGTGTCAGATTTCGTAACTTAAAATATCGTCTGCACTAATTATTTAGGATATTTGGGGTCCCCCCCTCGATCCCTTAAGATTTATTCCAAGAACGTGAAACTCGGATTTAAAGTTTAAAATATCTCCATAGTCTTGTTTTTCTGCTTTAAATTTAGCTTGTATCGTAGAAATCTTTCATTAGTGTCAAATTAAAACAAAAGATTTATATTATAAAACAATATTTAAAAATTTGTCTGCGTCATTTTATAAAATTTTGAGTAAAACATTGTAAGAAATATTCTGTGTTTTTCTTCTGTAGGTCTTGAACTCTTAAAATCTTTGATGATATGTTTTTTCCACTTTCTAACAGTATAATTTAATTTTTATTTAAAGTTCAAAATTTCTCCAAGTATAATTTTCTATTACATTTTAATGCAATTTTTAAAAAAAATTGAAAATAAGAGGATTAGTAACACACGAATAAGCGTTTCTCACAAACCTCTTCCCTTCTAAGCAAAATAAGCAAATCACAAATATTTTAAGTCCTTACGTAATATTTGAATGATCTCTAAAAACTAAACTGAACTCAGTGGCGCGACAGCTCATAGAGGGCCAAGGCCTACTGTATCCATCTCAGTTTTCTTGACCTTCGGCTCTGGGGTGCAGAAGAAGATGCTCCGGTCAAGTGGTCAGCCTAACGTGGAACCCCCAGTGTTTAGTTCCCAAGCATGCTTGGTACTCATTTATCGACCCACTGAAGGGATGAAAGGCTTTGTCAACCTTGCCCGGCCCAAGGATTTTGGATGATCTCACATTTTGATTACAGTTAAGCTAAATTAAATTTTATAACTTATAAAACCTTAAATAAAGTCCAAATATTTATGAAGTAAAATTAAACTTTGTGAAATGTTATTTTTTGATATTCCGAACAAAATTCTGAAGAAAAATCGTTTTATTATTTGACAATAATTCAAGGCAATTAAATGGTAATGCATAGTTTGCAATAATCAATATAAAATTCGGAGTGATATAATGGACTTGGTATTTTCTTTTAAAATGTACCTGCTAAATTATTTTAGAACATATTTTTTTTATTTTATATTCTTACTTTTTAACGAGGAGACTATTGTTGAAATGTCATAACATTAATGATTGTTTAAAAAATAATTTTAATTGTATGCGTTGAAAAATCCCCATTATAAATTTAATTGTATGCATTGAAAATCAATATTGCCTTAAGAACTCATTATAAGCACATATTAACAATGTAATCGCAACTCCTGTTCAAGAAATATTTTATTTTAGATAATAATCTTAAGAATCTTTTTTAAAAGAAGCAGAAATTAAGAAAAGGTTAATAACAATCGTCAAAAATTTTTTTGCTCATAATAAATAATATAAGAAGGAATAAATAGTAGAGAAAAAGAGACAAAAGCATTTTCACCATTTTTAAGTATAAAAAAATTCAGTGAAAAATATATTACTGTATAATAAAAGGAAAATAAACATATTTTTTTGAATTCTTATCAGTGTGTTTCAATTTATCCCCCCCCCCTCCGAAAAATGTATCTTCACCCTAAAGAATGTCAAATATCATTTTTTATCTTTTGCAGCGAATTAAGATTTTTTCGCATAATTTTTGCAATCGATTGTATTTTATGCATCAAGGCAGATGATTTTCATCGATACAACTTTTATATGAATTACCAAGCTATCGTACTTAAGCTAATACGTATGACAATACTTTAGCAAGCATTCATGCTAACATAAGTACATGCATGTGCTTAAACTTTATAATAGTTTCTGAATACGGATCTTAAACTAAAAAATAAGGTGATATAAAATAAAAAGAGTAATTTAAATTGTCAATTAATGAGTCTTTTGTTTTAAGAAAATTTTAAGATCTATTCAATTTTTTTTAACGATAATCTTACTTTTAAGTTTCAAATGAAAATAGTATTCACTCTCAGAAATAAAACTCTCACTTTTGACGATTCAGAAGTATTTGAGCAAAATATCGTTAATTTTGAGAATCTTTTCATTACGAAATCACGTGATTTGTGACGAAACACGAACTCTCAAATACGGCAAAAATGCTTTCTCAACTTGGAAGCATATCGCAGTGCATTGTGGGTCATCGTTAACTAGAATGACGAAACTAGAATGAAAACTAAACGATCGAAACTAGAATCACGAAATAATTCTTACTTTCTACGATATTCGCTTCCTCGAAAAAGTGACGATAATGATCTCGTCATTTTTACCACTTTGACGGTATGTTCGTTTGGAACATAAACCTGGAAGCGGTTTCATCAAAAAGGAAGAAGCTTTCGTGAAATTTGAGTATCTAATTTTTACAGTGTTCCTTTAAAGGAGTTAAATCTAAGCAAATCCGATGCAAAAAATATGCTAATAAGAAACAAAAAAATAGCCAAAATACTCATAAAGATCAAATTTTTGCTTAGTTTTCTTATTATATTTGCATGCTATACTCTCAAAGGCTGATAATAAAAAAATAAACTCATCACTACTTAAATGCAAAAGAAGTTCTAGTTTACTTTTTTTATTTGTTGCTTTATTTGTTGAGAATTATTTTTAAAAATGTTTCAAAGAATAACTAATTGTTTTAGCATATCCTTAATATAAAATGCTTAAGAATATGTAGATAGCATTTAAAGTTTCTATACTTTAAAAATACATGTTTATGGAAACTAAAAACTTTTAATATATTTTAGACAATATAGATATTAATATAATGTGTTAGACATTCGCTAGAAATTAAGGATCTCATGTCTAAGATAATTCTTGATTTATAACTTATAATAGATAAGAATGGTTTTTTATTATCAATAAGATTTCTTATTCAAAGAATCATCAACGAATTGTTTTCAATTTTTTATAACATGTTAGAAATCTCAGTTCAAATTTTTAATGTATATTTCAAAATACAGAGAGTAAATTTTAAGTTATCGGAAAATAAATATGAAAAAGGTGACAGTAAAAAATCGAAATACGGATAATTTCAAAATTAATTTCAAACCTTGCAGAAACACTAATCATTATAATTATTATTATTATTATTATTATTATTGCATATTAAGAAATTTTCAAACAAATCTATCGGGAATCGTTCAAGTTAAATTTATCAGTTTATGTGATATTCTGACAAATGATTTTATCAAATAACTATTAAATCAAAAAAATCATAATTGACGATTTTGTCAGCAATTTTGTTGCTATGATTTTTCTGACCGCTCTTTAAGGATATGATTGCAAAATTGTCTTGTTATGAAATAATTTTTTGTCTATTTTCATTTTGTAATAAATTGAAATTATTCTTTGTAAATAGAATTTAAAAAAACAAATAATTCAGTCCTTGTGTTTTGAAAGCCTATTTTTATGAAGAAAGATAGTTAATAGTCCATTTTTTTAAATAGCTAAATTTAGCTTTTTTTTCAATTATTAATGCGCATAATTATTTTTAAAAAGTAAGATATTGTTGGTATGTGAGAAATAATTAAATCTAAAGAAGAATTTATCTTTATTAGGTAGTGATAGAGCTTTTAAATCACGCATTTGTCGCAATCTTTAAACGTGTTAAGTTAAATGATTCATAAAATAAGTGTCTATTGATTTAAACTTATATTTCAGGCCATCCACGAACGGGCATTAAAACAGAAAAAAAGAGCCAATCTAAGTAAAATACCCTTCAACAGGAGATCGTCCAAAAGACAAAGTAAGAACGTAAAGGATGACAAAACGACAAGTTCCAACCTCCAAGTTTCCATGGATACCGAAATGGGTACAACAAACGTCACAAGTTCGATTCCCCAGGAAGACGAAATTGAAGAAGACGACGAAGACGAGGCGAACATGCTCGTGGATGGTGACGAGACTCCCAGAAGCCTCCTGAAAGGCAGCTCCACCCCCGTTATCGTGAAACTAACGACCCAAAGTGAAACTGGTAACAGCAACACGGATTCAGGATACGATGGTCCCTCCCAAATCGAAACTCATTTTTCTATTAATGCAAAAATTGAAACTTCCTCTTCCGGAAGTCCGAGCGGATCGCCAAAAGTTAACGACACGCCAAGAGATGGGCAGAAACGGAATGGGATCTGCGTCAAATCCTCGCCAAAGACAAAAACTAATGCTTGCGAGATAGTGATAGAAAGAAAGAAGAAATCAAGGTTCAATCTTGGAAAAAGGCATAAAAGTAGCAGCAAGAAGAGAGAAAAAGCTTCTGTAAAAAGAGAACGAAAAGCAACAAAAACACTCGCCATAGTTTTAGGTAAGTAAAATGTCTTGAAACGTTGGCTTTTCTCTAAAATAGTTCAAAAACAAAATAAAATAAGAAGAACTGAAAATATGTTTTATTTATTTCTCTTGAAATAAATTTGAATACGTAAATCGTTCATAGGCAAAGATCAAGATAAACTCTTCTTTTTCAACAAAATTCTGCTTCAACATTAACTTAAAATAATATCACATTGATATCTAATATACTTTATACCATTATACACATTATACCAAACAACACTGTATATTACAGAGAAAAAACTCCTCCTTTCAAAAAATAAGGTGTTTTTTTAGGTTATTTTGACAGGTGTAAAAAAATACACTGGGCATAAAAATTGAGGTTATGTTTTACATCATAAATTACCTCATTAAGAAACCTCAATTTCAACCTCATTAAATCAACCTCGTGTATAGCTCAGAAATACTTTTAGTCGAAATTATTACCCCTACAATCATAATTATTTGCAGAAAAATAACTTGTACACTTCAAAAACAACCTCTCCAAACAAGTTGCTCTAAGGTATATTTCTATCAATCTCAAAACAAGCTCAAGTATGAATAAAATAACTTCTTCAACTTTAATGATTAACAATTTTGGGAGGTTGATTTTGTAGGGTTGTTTTTTAAAGACAACTCCAAATCAACCATAACACCTTAAAAACCTTAGTTAAACCTCGGAAGTACCTAAATTTGTGTAATAGTTATGTAAACCACGAAAATGAACATAATATTGCACAAATTGCAAATATGTTACTTTTAAATGGATTTTAATAAACTAAAACCATGTAATATATACATTAACGCTTGCTAAAATAGCATCAAATGAAGAAAATATCACACAGAAATCAAATGTTTCTGATAATATAAGTTTCACCTAAGCAAGAATTTTAAGGCTTTAACAGTAAAATTCTTTAAGGCTTTAACCATAGAATTTTAAGGCTTTAACCGTTAAGTTCTTATTACTTATTTAACAAAAAAAAACTAAAAAGTAAATTTAACAGCATAAATTGTTTTTATGCAGCGCTCTAAGGTATCATGATAAAATTACCAGCTTTTACCACGTTTACCTAATTTTATTGCTATAAATTATTACCTTCAAAGCTCTTCGGTAAAAATAACCAAGCTTTTTGGCATTCCCATAGAGCTAAATACGGTAAATTTAACCGTAATCTGGTAGCTTTTATCATACTTTTACCATGCTTTTTGCCTTTAAGAATTTATGAAATACAGAAAAATCTTATGAAAGGTTACTTGTAAACTTAAATGTAATCTTACTAATAAAATCCAAGAATATCAAGCCTTTTCCCACATCGTCTTGTGCACAGAACGCGAAATAAAAAACGGACCACCCTGAATGACTTTTGTCCTAATGATCGGATATTCACAATCTAGAACTAAATCTTAATAGCTTGTGGGAGTGACCTCAACTATTCTAAGTAATTAATGCTGGTGATATTTTAAAATACGAAATCAGACATAAAAACGTACTTTCTCAGAATACACATACCTTTGTTTCGACGGATTCGGGTTTATGAACCCCAAAATATAGGGGTATCCGCAATCAGGGAGATATGAACCCAATGGTTTGGTCAGGAAAGTGGTCTAAAGTTCGAACCCCTTAATGTTAATTTTAATTTTTGCGTATTTCAACAGATCTCGAGAAATTTTTAAGTTAATTTAAAAATTTTGATTGCAATTATAAAATTCGTCTACCAAAGATAATTTCATGCAGAAAATAATTTTTATTAAATATTTGTTATTTTTTATTGTTTAATTTAATAATAGCCAAAAACATCTTGAACTGTAAGGTGAACACATTTTTATATTAATTGTAAGAATACAATTTTAAAAAGCAAAATAAATAATTTGAGCGTAATCAGCCGAATAGTTCCTGAGTAAAGGAATTTTGAAAATGACGTATTTTTAAATTTCGATTTCTCAGGAACTATTCGACCAATTTCACTCAAATTTTGCATTTTTCTATTCAAAATCGAGCTTAACGAATGCATTTTTGAATGGTACCCTTTATGCGTTATTATTTACAAGTAAAAATTTGCATACCTTACAATTCAAGATTTTTTTTTCAACTGTTATTGAATAAAATTTTTAAAAAAGTAATAAATATTTACTAAAAGTTATTTTTCGCATGGAATCATTTTTGGATAAATGAATTTTGTAGTTGTGTGCAAAAATGCTTCAAATCTTTCAAAAGTTCTCGAAATATGGTGAAAGTAAAATTAGCAATAAGTGATTCAAACTTAAAATCACTCTCCTGACCAAACTATTGGGATCATATCTCTCAGATTGTGCCAACCACCCCTCTATTTTGGGGTCATAAATCTGAATCCATCCAGAAAAAGGTATATTTATTCAAAAAAAGTATATTTTTGTGTCTGGTTTTGTAACGTAAACTATTGTCTGCACTAATTAATTTAAATATTTGAGATCACTTTTTTGAACCATTACGATCGAGTCTTAGAACGTAAAGATTCGAAAGTTTTTCAGGGTGGTCTATTTATTTTTTTGCGCGCATTACATAGCATAAGTGGAGGGATACATCGAAGTTTTCAAAATTTATTTCCATTTTTAGAATCTTACTAATGTTTACACTCGTTGTGTATTAACTATGTTAAACATTCACTAATGCTAAACCATCCATATCACCGAAAAGAACTTTTTATTCCTAACTTAAATATATAACAAAAACAAGCTCCAATACAACCTTTTTTCTCATAAAACTTTATTAAAAAAAACAACAAAACTTTGCAAAAAAAAATCGAAATAATCAACAACGAAACTTATTTTGAAACCCTGAAATAGTTTGAACTATTGGTTTTCGAATAAAAGAAGTGTTTTAAAATTTCCCCTGTTCTAATAGGTGTTTCTGAAAAATGCTTACGGAATATTCAAGATTTACATTTTGTCACTTGAAGTCACCCAGTTTAGTTCCGAAGAAACTGAAATAATCAGTAATTTTACGTGAAAAACAACAATACGTAAATAGTGCAGCAGCACATAACTATTACGAATTTAAAAAACAAATTAAAATATTAATAGAGAAACGTTAATATAATTATATTTTTAAAAAAACTAAATACGGTAATTAATATTTGTTGTTCAGTAGAAACTTTTATCTATCGTTTTAAAAATTTAAGATAAAAAATAGTGCGTGGTGTCCCTCCGCGCGGAAGAAGTTAAACTTCGCAACTTGCGACGTTAATTGTAGAAGAATCAGCAGTCGTAGAAGGATCACTAGTTCTATTCAACGACTCTTTTTCCCGCTCCGCTCGCTTCCGTGCTCTGTAATCACGGTAATATTGTGCATTTTTCCCTCGTGGATCTCTTGAACCAGTGGAAGTGCTTGTGGTTGCTTCATCGTCTCGCCCTGGAAAATGTATTTGTATTAATAATGTATGTGAATGCGTCATAATATAATTTCAGAAGAGAAAGCCTAACAATCAATTGATATTCACAATAGATGTACCTTGACGTAACCTTAAAATCCGTCGCATTGTCCGTGGGATTGTTTTCACTCATTTTTTACAATTGTTATCCACTAAATTTGAAAATAAAAAATACTACCCTATTAAATTATGTGTGTATCAAAACAAACTAAAAAAATATTTATAGAAAACCAATACTTTTATGACTTTTATTATTTTTAAGCTAGTGAGAACCAAAACAATATGGAAATGAATGAGGGAAAACTGGATCCTACCACGTGATTTCCCGGCCAATAAAAATGTAGCGTTAAACGTTTAACGCAACCTTGTTGGAAGTCGCATAAGAAGTATAACTTCAAAAATATGAACATCATTGAGGAACAAACTTCTTGTTGCAGTTATACCGCTAGGGGTGCTTCTCTGTTATAATCTGTTTCTTTGCTTGCTTCTGAACATGTCATAATAGACCCCAAGAACAACTCTAACTCACCTAGAAATGTTTCGCAATAAAACTGTTTATTTAAAACTACAAAGATAAGCTGTAAGAATCTTTTCCTTAATATATTAAATAAATTGTTACGGCTAAATTTTAATCGATCTCGATAACGCTTCATCAGAGTTTGACAATGGTTTTACTGATTTCCCTCACGTATCGTTTTCTTATTTAATTTTTTAGCATATATTCTAAAGAAAATAATAAGAACAGTAATGATGGAAACTGCGGTAAATGTAATATTCTTAAAATAGTTTATTAAAAACAGTATAAGAGTATATAAAAGTATTAAATGAAATATTTTAGATCTATATTGCAAACTGAAATCTAATTATATTCCGATGTCATATTTCAATTGATAATTATTCGAGATGATTTGTCACTTTCAAATTGTACATAATTCTCAAAAGTGACCAATGTTATTCTTGCAGGAATGTTCCTCATGTGCTGGGTTCCTTTTTTCACTTGCAATATTCTAGATGCAATATGCATAAAATTAGAGTCAGACACCTGGAGGCCCGGTGTGACTGCTTTTCTTCTGACTACGTGGCTTGGTTACATCAACAGCTGCGTCAACCCCGTCATCTATACCATTTTCAACATTGAATTTAGAAAAGCCTTTAAAAAACTGTTGCAAGATATGTGGACTTGTTGCCCGGTTAAATAAATATTTTTTTTTTCTCCATATATCTATGGAATAGAATTAAATAGACTCTTTTTTGAATTCAATATAACGAAGCTCATCTATTGCTAATATATTTAAGAGCTTTGTTTGATGGTTTGATACACGTAAAAAAAACTGTATATAAATGTTATGTTGTACATAATTGTGAAAATTTTCAACTGATCTGTTTATTATTATTGAATGTGAATGTAAGTCAATGTTCAGAGATGTCGCTCAATTTTTTCATCTTGGCCAAAGTTAATCGTCCATTACAAGTACTTAGATGTTCAATATTCAACTTTATTATTTATTGTTGAATAATGATATATTTGAATTATACGAATCAAATCCATTCTTCTTCTTTAACATGTTATGCATAATGATTTCTTGAAATTCACATAACCATATATATTTAATTTTAAAAAAAAAACATAATTTAACGAATTAAGTAAATTGCTTTTATAAAAATTAATAGAATATTTATTTGTTCTTATTTTTTAAATTATAATTTATTAAAACATTTATTGTGTTCATATCAACTTTTATAGTCATATTTATTTATTGTTCTAATATTTTCATATAAAATTTACAATTAAATAATTTTAAGAATAAATTTTTTAATTGGGCTACATTAATAATTGATTCCTTTTCTTAATTAAAACTTTTTTTATTTTTTTATGTTATTGTTCATAAAGTTAATATTAAATAATTTCAATAAACCAATTTTTTGATTTTAAGCTCAAAGACAATTTAATAAAAAATTGCATTTCTTAGACATTTTTTTTATTTTCTTTAACATGATACATACCGTTCAAAATTCAAGCACAAGCTTTAATAAGATTATTTATATTAAAATTGATATCTTTTTATTGAAATAATATTTTTGTAATTTATATTCCAATATTTAGAGCTGTGTTAATCTCTTTTGGCGTCATTAAAATAAAAGTTCCTTTCAGTAGAGAAAATATTAATAAAGTTTTATGAAGATTGTTAATATAGATGATTATATGGTCGTATACTGTTTCAAGAGATTATCCGTGTATTGTTGAAATTTTAATTAAATTTGTTTATTGTATTCCAAAATATTATAATTCTAAGTTTTTAAAAAAACCTCTTGTTTTCATAAATAAATTAAATACAAATATAAACAATTATTAAAAAATTAGAATAAGAGATAAAAAGCTTTAGTACTTTCACGCAGCATTGCGTGTTTGCATTCTGCGCAAGTTCTATGAAGAATCGAGATAACTGCGCTGCGCAGATGATAAGTAAGTTAACGTAATAGATGCTGCGTTAAAGTGTTACATCTACATGGAGGAAAAAAATTGTGGTACAAATACCATACGGTATGGCAAGGACATTTCTGGTAACAACAACCGTAAATCAGGAAATAAAACAAAATATACGGTATTTAAACGATTCATTTGGTAATTTTACCGTTCATGTGGCAACGGTTTCACAACAAAATCTTGTTTTTAAAATTATAGTTCTTATTACTCCATATTTAGTAAAAAGATAAAATTTAAAAATAAATATACCCGAATATATGGTTTTTATGCCATGTTTTAAGGTTTTAAGATAAAAATTACTAAATTTTACCATATTTAGCAAGCTTTACCACATTTTCCAAATTTTTACGCATAATATAAAAACAATAATAATTGTTAATTTTACCAAAATCATTACCGAAGTAATTTGGTGTAAATTACCGTGCTTTTTTTTCGTGTTCCCATAAAGCCAGAAACTCGATAAATTTCACTTCATTCAGGTAGTTTTGACCATACTTTTTTTTCAGTGTAGATAATATCGTAAACCTTAAACTTCTATAATATGTACTTTGTATTTAATCCGTGTTTATTAAATGCATTAACTTAAAAGAATTTTTAACCCATACTTGCATTCTGCTCAGTAAAAATGTTTATTTTTCTCTCAATAATGTCAAAATTGTAATAGTTTTATTATAAAAATATAACCGAATTATAAAGTACTTCTTATAGTTCCTTACGGAAACGTGTAGGAGTTGGAAAAAACATTTCGTACACACCAAGATTAAAATTACCAACGTCATATTTTATTACACAAAAAAAAAAAAGATAAATCAAGACTTAGGAAGAAATAATCGGAAATTATATATTTTGTTATTTTGAACATAAAACAAAGAGTAAGAAGCGTCGGTTTTCATTAAAAGAAAGTTTCCTTAAAAAACTGCAGCTAAAACTAACGAATTGAGATAACGAAGTCAGTACGACACACAATGCGTAAAAGAATACATGGACCTACTCTAATCTACTTTTAATCTAATGATTCGATTTCCTTATGGCTATGATGTTCTTATTTTCTTATGGTTATGGTCAATCTTAATGTTTCTAGAAAGTTATCTAAAATATGATAATTAATTAGATGATATTTTAAATAAAAAATTTAAAAATGCTAATTTTTCTGAATTTGATTTCTCAGGAACTATTCTACTAATTCGCTCAAATTTTGTATTTAAAATGGCATTTAAAATTACATACTTTAGCTGTGAAAAATTGTTTGTCTTATTTTACATTTAAAAAATTGTATGCCTTACAGTTTTATAGTTTTTCGTCGACTAGTATTAAATAAAATAATAAAAAGTAATGAATATTTACTAAAAGTTATATTTTGCGTGAAATTATTTGTGGATAAACGAATTTAATAATTGTGTGCAGAAAATTTTCAAATCGCATAAAATGTACGCGAGATATGGTGAAATATTCAAAGGGTGACATTGAGGGGTCTAAACTTCAGAACGCTCTACGGACAAAATTATTGGGACTATATTTTCCAGATTACGGCTACTTTCTTTAATTTGGGGGTATAAATCCAAATCGGTCGAAGTTTTTGGTTCTGATTTCATAATTTAAAATATCGTCTGCATTAATTAATTCGCATGGGGTCATCCCTTCGAACCTTTAAGATTGAGTCCTTCAATGTTAAGATCCGATCATTAGATCAAATTAAAAGCTATTCAACGTATGTTTTTTTATTGAATTATGAACAGATTAATTGATTATTTAGAAAAAAATTAAAAAATTAAAACATCGTATTTTTAAAAAATACGATGTTTCGTCTAAATGCAATACATAACTGTATTCATTCTCAGTTTCAAAGCTATTTTAATTATACAAACCACGCAAAATTGATAATCATTGAAAAGAATCTAATATTAATTATAAAAAATATTTAATTCTAAACAATTAATTAAATTATACACAAAATATATTACTAACTAGATATAAAACTTACTAGATCAAGGCTACTTTAACAATGCAAACCACGCAAAATAAATAACAAAATATTTATTATAAATAATCTAACATTAATTATAAATAAATACTCAATTCTTTTCATTATTTCACATTTATGGAAAAAAGACACAAAAAGTTCTTAAAAGTATGTATGTACCTTAATATAAAACATTTAATTAAAATACGCATAAACAGTATACATTAAAAATACTATGAGATTTCACTTGACTACTACACTGTCATAAATTTCGCCTTACGTATCAAACTACACATGCGTGGAACTGCATGTTCCTCCGTATTACTTTTCAATATTAAGTAAATACAAATTTAAAAGCTTCATACACATCACACAACTACTAAGTCAAGAGAAAAAAATATTATTTTGCGAATAACTAATTTATGTGATATTTAAAATAATTTACGTTTTCATCCGCATGGACTTAGCGTTATTTTTCGAAGATCACTTTTGTTAAGATGAAATTCTACCCAAATAAATTTAATGTTCCGCATTTATTGGTATTCCTAGAAAGTTTAAACAGCCACGAATGTTGTTTCAGTGAGGACAAAACCATATATTATCTCATAGCATGTTTTTGGAAGCTAAAAAGCGAAGGTCGACATCTGACCGAGGTAACGAAAAGAATATGCTGTTACTTTAAAAATTTGCATAAACTCTTAACTCAGCAATTCTTAAAAACTTCACTTTGTGTTTCATATTACTGCTTAATAATTAATTGTCACTATGTAGCTATCTTTTATGCACAATTGATAATCCAGTAAGTTTTTTTTTTTTTTAGAAAATCGGTCGTTTTATTTATTTATTTATTCCAAAATTCACCTAATTACTTGAAGAAAAAAATGATTTCAAACTTGTTTTCAATTAAAGTCTTGAGTTTTTCTCCATACTTTCTGCATATAGATAATCCTAGATTATTTTTACAGTGTTACCTTTATCAAAATGAGAATCGAATCATGACGTGGTTGAAATTTGGAAATAAAAATCTCATTTTAGAATCAATTTAACCTGAAGTAATAATTTAATCTTTATTTTTACTGATCTAATGATTTGAGTTTTCTAACAGCAGTGTTAGAAATTTTTTTGCAACTCCTATACATCAACTGTCTTGAAAAACGTTATCCAAGTCTAAAATAAGTGTATTTAATAAATTATTTCAAATATTTTGCATTATTTGTCTCTTTATTTATAATTGATTTTAACTTCATAAAGCATGCGTTGCATGTAAAAAAATCAGAAACAATATATTTATACATTGGATATTCAATGTTTTATTAAACGTTATGTTCATATTGGGCATTTTTTGTAAAAGGAAAAAACAAGCAACATTTCCTTTAGCAACTGAAGAATTTTAGATGAAGCAAGCGATAGTTGTTACGTGATTTGAAAACTTCATTAGCTTCAAAAATATGCATTTGGAAAGAAAATTAAACATGCTTCAAGTGCTCAAAAATAGGAGCCCATTCTCACGATTTGACAGATGTGAATGAGAAGAATCCTCTTGAATCTTGTTTCATTGACCTCACTATCTCCCCAACATTACCCTGATTTTCCCCTCTCGATCACAGTGTCCTGGTTCTGCTTTCTCATCGTTATTTTTGTTTCACTTTCAGGTACTGCGGTAATTCCAGTTTTGGTTCTCACCTTTATTTTCTATTTTTCGTTGGCAACTTAACGTTTTATATTTTAAATCACTTTTATTCCTCCTCCTTATTCATGCCTGGCAAATCTTGAGAATGAGTACCTATTTTTGAGCGCTAGGGAGATGTCGACGTTCATTTCCATCTGCATATGTTTGAAGCCAACGAAATTTTTTTAATCAAGTAATATCTTTCGCTTTAGTTTCATGAGGTTATTTATTTAAAACAGTAGTTATGTTTTAAATATAAAATGAGGTTAAGTGAGCTCTAACAACTTAGTAATTTCTACCTAACAATATAACAGTTAAACTATCATAAAATTCATCCATCATAGAAGGTCTAAGAAACCTTCATACTCTACTGGATGAAGGTTTTCTCGAAATTTATCCCCAAATTTCAAACTACAGATTTTACGTTTCATTTTACACGAATTGCTTTTCTAATTTTATCATACTACAGCTTAGTTTGTGGTCATTTGATTCAAGGAGG